CAGGGACACTGCGATGGGATGAAATAAAAGGTGGGAAAGAATTAATTGTATTGCATTATCTGCGACACGGGGCAACCACAATATTATAAGGGAAAGGACACAAGAGCCTTCCCATGCTAGAATACGACATCATCCATCCACAACTGGGACATAGTTCGGCCATCTAGAACAATGAAAAACGAGATGGCAATGAGACACCTACGTAAGAGAAGAGCAGCTGGTAAAGAAAGAAAGCGCGATCACCAGCATGAGGCCGATGACATCATGCGCTGCCCCACTTTTAGAGGTATCTCGTAGCTCTTTCTCCGTCGTCACCAACAGATCAAGAAAAGAGAACAGGACACCTGCGGCATTGTTACGGGCAGGCCTAGGTTTGCAAAATGCGACTTTGTGCGGGCGCCTTATTCTCGTCTCTGCTCACTACCTCTTTGAGATGAATGGTCGGCCGAGGCAAGCACGTCCTCCCGATGTACCGCAGATGTGAGATCCGCAAGCAAAGCACCAAATCCTAGTAGCTATGTATAGTGCAAATTGGAGCTGATGACGAGCGCAGTTATGAACGACTCGGAGGCATGGGAATTGCATCAGAAGTTATGCCGACTTTTACTGGTACTTTTGCAGTCGTCCATATGTACGTCAGCTTGTGCAGCTTGTGGCAGCTTCTTATAATTACAAAATTCCTGTTGATTCCTAGGGACATAAACCTCGTTTTCAAAGAACTCACGATTTGTATAACAAAATGCTTTATGATGTTTTATCAACGGTATAAAAGACGCGGAAAATATATAACAGAATCGCCAAACAAGACCATTTAATACAACATCTTACAAGAGGGAGAGGTGTCCCACAACACAGTTGGTGCTTAACATCTCCGTCCACCACCCATGCGTCCACCACCGCCGTACCGGCCTCCGTATCCGCCTCCGTATCCGCCTCCGTATCCGCCGCCAAATCCCCCTCCATAGCCACCGCCGTATCCTCCGCCGTGGTGTCTACCTCCGCCGCCGTAGACGGGACGCGGCATCGCCATAGGCGCCACCACCACAGGCCGCGGCATCATCATGGGCCGTGGCATCATCATGGGACGAGGGCCCATCACGACCGGGCGCGGGCCCATATGCACGACGTCCGGCCGGTAGTATGCTCCGCTTGGTGGCCCGAAGCAACACATGGTCGCAGCTGTGTAAGAAGAAAGAGGAGTGTATATGTCGCGGCTGAAAAATTGGTATATTGGGAGAGACCCTGTAAATAGGCCCAGGAGCCCGGAAGATTGCCGCACGTCGTTGTAAGTGCCGTTGGCGCAGTGCTGTACTAGCTTTTGGGCTGAAAAGGGCCTATAAATTTAGATGTCGGTTGGCTCCGGACAAAGAGTACTCTTTCGATTTTCAAATGATTAAATTCTGGCATTCATGCGACAAATTCAGAAAACAGCACACGCGACCACCCGAGACAGGATACTGGACAGTATTTATTCCCTCGGACCCCGAACGAGTAGAAAGCCGCGTTTTGCAAAGCCACAACGAGGCGGTCTTTCCTTGTCCTTCATTTTAGACCATCACCGATGCATGGCGAAAGGACGGCTATCCTCATCACGCACCACCACTTTTGTGTTCCTTTGTCCTTCACCCCCTTGGCCCCTCTGCTCACTGGCACCCTGTGAAGCTACGCATGGAGCGAGAAAGAAGGGGCAATATGACTGACGAAGAAGGCAATATAAACGGACTTAGGTATTACACAAAAGAGACGTTCATAGATTGTGGCCTCCCTTGACTCCTGCTCACAAAGCGTCGGACCTGGCCTTGCTTTCTGGCATGCCACTAAATAACTAGCGACTGCCGGCGCTTGGCGCCTTACTGAGCCTCGATGTTGCGCGTCCAGTTCCTTGTCAGAACACTTGGCTCTCAATTCCTTTTTGGGCCTGGCCCGAATGAATGCGAAAGGAGGTTAAACAAGAGGGGAGAAACAGGGAAAAGGAACCAAAAAAGGAAAAAAAAGAAGCCAAGAAAGCTGTAGGATTTGTGATGGGATTGAACCTGTTGCTGGCGGTCAACTTGCCGGTCTTTCGAAATCGCACCCAATTTGACGCTGGCATCCAGCCGCATATGTATACGGAGTACGGCTCTTAACAGATAAGTGGACTGACGTAGTGGATGTCCTCCCGTATCGTGTGATGGTGCCGATATGCACATTGTTGTTCTGAGGATGACTTTACATACGAAGAATATAATAACGATTTATACCATCATCCTAAACGTAGTATTTGCCGCAGGTACTCAGAGCACTGCCAAAAGTGCTTTGCGTGTATTCCGTTCTCAACTGTTTGGTGGAGTGGCCGAAGATTATGTCCGTCGTCTGATCCCTTCTAAAAAGCAACAGTCGCACTTACATGCGACAAGGCAAGCTGTCGTCCATCCAGAGAGGTGGGCTGTCACAATCTTCTGCATTGTAGGTAATTGTGCGGATGTTCTTCAGTGTGGTGTTACACTTGTGCATATATTGACACGCCGACGAAAATAAACTAGAGAAAACCGAAATGGCAAACATAAAACTTAGAAATGCATTCATTGCTCGGGCGTCAACTCGCCTTCGCCTTCGCCCTTTTATATGGTTTTTCCCCCCTGCTCGTGGCCCTCTCTTGCGGCTGGTTGCTGGCGCCGTGTGCTCCTCTCCTCACGTCAACTCTCGTCCTCCGCCTAGTTCTTCGAAAACTTGAGCTCCACACTGCCAATCGCGTACGCAGCTACAATCAGACCCAGAACGCTCGAGAACACGATAATAGGCTTGCGGAGGCTTGCCAGCAGCGAATAGTCGTACGTGACAATCACCTCGCGGTCCCGGAACTCGTCGACCAAGTTGCGGGCCTCCACCACAACGGCCGTCCGTCCCACTGTGTCCAGGAAGGTCTTCTGTAGTGTCACCATTGAGGTCGTGATGGAATTCGAAGGGATTGCGGCTGCGAATTTGACGTTCTCGGCGCCTTCCGGCAGCAAAATCTGTAGTCGAACTTGCTCGTACTCGACGCCCTCGTGTTGCTTAGGGCCCTCGAGGAACGGCACGTTGAGTACGTAGCGGCTGCTACCCTGTGTGAGACGGCGCAAGAACGCACCAGCGTCCGCGTTCCAACCAATCGTGAACGGGAACGTCCAGCCGCCGAACACGGGGTACCGGGGCTTGATCTCGAGAAGGGCCTCGCGCTTGCCGTTACGGAACCGCGACGTGGACACGTTACCGATAACGTCAGTGTAGTAAGCGTCGGCGCTGCCGGGCCGCAGAGGGAAACGCATCTCCTTGAGGGCCGAGCTTGCCGGGTTATAGTAGGCCGCCTGTGCCCACTTGACGCGGTTGAACAGCGTCGACAGGTTGGCACCGTTGTTGACCAGCGTATACCGCTCCTCAAAAGCCACATTGCCACCCCAGTGGCTGACCTCGATGTCGCGTTCCAGTCGCTGGACGTGGTTGACGGGCTTCGTGAACTCGAACCGCACCTCCACGGGCAGTAGCGCCCCAGCTGGCTGTGCCTCAAAGGGGCCGTACGTAATCTTCGCCCCTTGCTTCTGCGAGAGCTCCTTCTTGGGCAGCTGTGTATAATCGGGAACGTCGGATGTCGGGAACTTGACCTCGGTCTTCTGCTTGGTGGTCTCGTACGCGGAGGGACAGTACGCCGAGAAGTCGTAGACGAGGTACTGCTTGTCGTCCTGCGCGATGAGGGCAGGCAGCGGCCGGTACGCATTAAGAACGTAGTAGGTGATGCCCAGAGTCTGCTGGGCACCAGCATCGAGCGCCTTGGGCAGGCGGATACGGTAATATTGTGTCGAGCTGGCCGGATCCGCCTCGACAGCCTCCGCGATGAAGTCTCCGGCCGCCGTGTCTTTGCGGTCCTTCACCTCAAAGCCACCCACCCGGGTAAACTTATCTGTCGGAATGGCCAAGTAGTACTCATCCTGCGGCGTCTTGGCGATGTTTTCGACGAGCACGTTAATCGTCTCTTTAATATAGCTCTTTTCGGCCGAAACAACATGAACAAGATTGGCGTTTTTAAAGGCGGCAGGTGGCGTAAACGACGCGACAGCTGTAGATACAGCCGACGACAGGCCCAGCAGCAGCGCTGGCAACGCCGCCGAGGAGAATCGCATAGTGGATGGTCGGAACTGGGGAGGATGATGTCGAGTAGGGCAGCGTCTCGGAAGCTTATTCTGTCGATGGCTGAAGGCCGCCAAACGCGAAAACGATGAAAAGAAGAAAATAGAAATTAAATGAGAGGATGAAGTGAAAACAAGAGGGAAAAGAAGCACTCAAAGAGAGGTGCCGACAACTGGGAGCGAGGGTCGGTCAATTGTCGTGAGGATCCAATTGTGAGAACGGCCAGTCGATTCTGGAAACTCACCACAACACCGTGTTCTTAGCTCCACATCCACAGGGGCGGCTTGCGTAGTATGCAGACAAGCTGTCCCCAATGCCCGTTTGATTGGCCCGTGCACCTTTTCAAAGCCACAGAATGGGTACTTGTTAGCTGGACAATTGTGGCTGGAATTTGTGGGGCGTTTGATAAGAGCGACAGCTGATAAGACATTCCCTGTCCCCATTTGAACCAGCATCGTTGTTTCGAGGCAGAACTGGTGTACTTATGATTCTTGAATCCCTTCAGCCCAGCTAAATACGCATCTCCTTTTGTGGAAAATAATCAATTGACACATTGTACATATACTATACCCATATGATCTCTTTTTTGACATGTATTTAAAATAAGTGTACGAAACAGAAGGAAGGCCCGGCCATTCATCGTTCCTTCTGTGAGCTTCGAGCTTACCCCCAAACCCTGCCCCTCTCAAGCGGGGAACCGGCATGCAGCTAGCGTCAAGACAAACTATGCTGTAATATCCAGCACATTCTGTCTAGGCTCTTTGGCTGCCGAGTATGCACACAACGAGGACAAATTTCGCGGCATATTTTGTCTTGGCTCAAATACGCACGCAGAGGTGCTTTTATTTTTGTAATACTTATCAATCTGCCGCAAAGTCTTGCGACCGGGTCTGACCCTCGTGGGCCGCACCTTGGGCCGCACCTTCCGTTCCGTGTTCTCGAGTGTCCCAAAGTGTTGAGTTGAAGACGATCGCAGTTACCCGATTGGCAAGCTGTGGGGGTCCCTGCAGCAGACCAAGGTTAGCTGTGTGGTAGCCGGTCGCTCCTGCAGCTCTTTTCACAAGCCCCCGTTTTTGGCTACCCCTAACATCCCAGTTGATTTATTATCTCCTGTTCTGGCTTTCTTTCCTCTTCTTTTCTTTTCTCACTTTTCTTCCATTCCACTCCCAATCCCCGCCTCCGGATCTCGCCAGACACGACCAGACCTTGGTTCAACAGCTTCAAGCAGCTTTGCCTCACCCAAAACCGCAAACGGGGAAATTCTCGCACTTGTTTCACTGCCCACACGAACCCCACCAGCCATTGCCAGAGAGCACCTTTTAACTGATCCTTACTGGGTCAACACTGAACCGGTACTGACTTTTGCCTCTCTCCACTTCCCCCAGACAAAGTCGTTGCAACATACATCATAGCAACTGCATTCCTCTACAAAAGGAGAATAGTCAATTTTTCAGACAAAAAAAGCACGGGACAGCTGACCACAATATTCTCACAGATACCCAATCTATTTACCTGTGAACTATCAAACTTCCTTTCTGCTTCTCTTTTCCTTGATTCACGATCCAAATTCGACTCGATAGTCTCAGTATAGCTGTGACCGTCTCACGTTTGCTTTTACGGCCCTCATTCGTCTGTGCCGGTACCGCCTCGCCTCTTCGGCTCGTCTATTCCCGCGACTTCGCACCCGGTTGTGCAATCGTCGACACACCCTCGCACTGGACACAGCATTTTTGGAACCCGTTGTCCTAGCTCCCAGCTTTCTCAGCCTTCCTGACATCGCGCAACATGGTCGGTCTTGGTCCTAAGAAGCCGCCTTCCCGCAAGGGTACAGGTAAGACATGGAATACGTATGAATGGAGGTTTGGACTCGCAAGGTTCGAGGAATCGCAGTGCCCTGGATAGCATAGCGCTGGATCTCTCACGATCTCAACCTTGCTTTGCTGTCTCTGGCCCCTCTTGCCCCATAGCCGCCGTTTCGTCCCATCGAGCTCCAGCTGTTTGTCCCTGACACGTTTCCCGTCCTCCCACTCGCACGCAAGCACATGCCCGTTTCGCGCTGCGTGCTTCAACATACCGCAACCGTCACGGGCAGCCCTATTTGGAGCTCAATGCCACCCTTCCCACCAGATTGCCCACCGTCCTATCAGATCCCACTCGGGTGTTGTGGCTGCTCGAATTCCCTCAAAAGGGAACCCCGCCAAGTGCCGTTGCTTGACTGCTGATGGCCTGTGTCTCTTACCCGTCGATGCCCGACGAGAAAGCCGGGTAAGGGAGAGTTCCCTCCCAATATTGGCTCTGCTCCTACCCTATTTTCACATCTCATTTTTCGTGTCGCGAAAATGTGCACCTATCGAGAGTCTGAGTTGTTCACATGGAAGCCCGACGTGTTATGGGATGGCCTGGAAGCGCGGTCCTTGTACGCCAGGCACTGGCCACAGCCGCCCATCTGAAATGGCCACTTGTTCCGTCTTTTCACCACATGCCAAGAATGGGAGCTCTCTTCGTCCGAGGGATGAAGAAAAAGCGTCGTCGCTACGCATGACAAGTTCGTCGCATAAATATGCTCTCCACTGCAGTCGCAGTTCTCCGTCGTCTCTCTCGTCTACACCCGTTGTTTATGTGTTTTAATATGCCGTTGATACTGTGCAGCCGCAAAACCTTGTTTCTTTGACAACATTTGATACTTCCCACACCCCACAAACACTTCTTTACATGTCGCACAGCATGGCAGCAGCACCAGAAACAAGTTTGCCGTCTCTGTCGGGCCATTTGCATTCTCATGCTCTCCGCCTTAGTAGCGACTCTGCAAAGGGCAAGCGTGTTGGCCTTTATGCCATGACCTGAGGCTTGAATATGCGTTCTTATGAATTGCTTGCTAATTTGTTTCTCGAGCAGGCTCCCTTGCAGATATTCCAAAGGACCTTAAGCAAGAGATTGCAAACCTTGAGCGGCTTTTCACCGTCGACCAGAAGAAGCTCAAGGAGATCACTACCCACTTTATCTCCGAGCTGGACAAGGGCCTCAGTGTTGAGGGTGGCAGCATTGTACGTGATGTGATTTTAGCCCGGCGTCCATTCACACGCTGACCAGAGACTAATACGCACACAGCCCATGAACCCTACGTGGGTTATGGCCTTCCCGGATGGCTACGAGACTGGCACCTTCCTCGCGCTTGACATGGGCGGCACGAACTTGCGTGTCTGTGAGATTACCCTGACGGATCAGAAGTCCGAATTCGATATCATCCAGTCCAAGTACCGTATGCCCGAGGAGCTGAAGACTGGTCAATCCGAGGAGCTTTGGGACTACATTGCCGACTGCGTGCACCAGTTCGTTGAGACGCATCACGAGGATCTGTCCAAACTCGATAGCCTCCCGCTCGGGTTCACCTTTTCGTACCCGGCGACGCAGAACTACATTGACGAAGGCATTCTGCAACGCTGGACCAAGGGCTTTGACATTGCGGGCGTTGAGGGCAAGAACGTGGTGCCCATGTTCGAAGCGGCGCTGGCTGCCAAGGGCACACCCATCAAGCTGGCCGCCCTGATCAACGATACCACGGGCACGCTCATTGCGTCGGCGTACACCGACACCAAGATGAAGATTGGCTGCATTTTCGGTACGGGCTGCAATGCAGCATACATGGAGAATGCGGGCTCGATTCCCAAGCTTGCGCACATGAACCTCCCCGCCGACATGCCAATGGCCATCAACTGCGAGTGGGGCGCGTTCGACAACGAGCACAAGGTCCTTCCGCGGACGCCGTATGACATTATCATTGACAAGGACTCGCCGCGCCCCGGCCAACAGGCGTTTGAGAAGATGATTGCCGGACTCTACCTGGGCGAGCTGCTGCGGTTGATCATGGTGGATTTGCACGACAACCACGAGACACACATCTTTGCGAACCAGGACATCTCCAAGCTGCGTCGTGCCTACACCCTGGACTCGTCTTTCCTGTCCGCTATTGAGGAGTATGTGTTTCGCCCGGTGGCTAAGTTTCTATGCTTTGTTTGAAGTTTGTGAAACAGAATTTGACTAACACTCCTTTAGCGACCCGTGGGAGAACCTTCAGGAGACGTTCGACCTGTTCAACGACAAGCTGGGCATCTCCCCGACAGAGCCTGAGCTGTGCCTGATCCGCCGCGCAGCCGAGCTGATCGGTACTCGCGCTGCCCGCCTGTCGGCCTGCGGTGTTGCTGCTATCAGCATCAAGAAGGACTACAAGACGTGCCACGTGGGCGCGGACGGCTCCGTGTTCAACAAGTACCCACACTTCAAGGAGCGGGGTGCGCAGGCGCTCAAGGAGATTCTTGACTGGCCTGACAAGAAGGACCCTAAGGAGGAGGACCCGATTGAGATCCTGGCCGCCGAGGACGGTAGCGGTGTGGGCGCAGCGCTGATTGCTGCCCTGACGCTGAAGCGCGCGCAGGCTGGCAATCTATCCGGCATCCTGCACCCCGAGAACTTTGTGTAAAGGGAGTGTACCAACGCATCCCCAGGGCGGAAGACATATATAACTGGGAGTTTGTTTGAGATTTCATGATGGAAGCCAAACAAAACAAAAGCATAGGCGGAGAGGAGAAAAACTAGAGACTAGAAACTCGTCCATTTTACCACGCTCGGTCACTAGTCACGTCGTAACGCTATGTGGTACATTATGTTTTGATTGTATTTGGTATAATAAGCGTTTCAGCCTATAAATGTGCATACTGGCAGTCGGTATTCTATGATGTGTTAGCAAAACTTGCACTATGATGAGGCACAGTGCCAAATACGAGGCAGTATTGCTGGGTCTGCACTTACTGTCGAGTGTCCAGTAGGGCCGCAGAATGCCTTCCCACGCCCCTGCGCCAGCCTTGTCGAGGCCGTCGTCGGCTAGGGGAACGTCGACATCCTGCCATGCGACGTCCAAGCCGGCCTCGGACAGGTGCATCTCAACCACGCGCGTGTATACGTCGTAGCACACTCGCCGGTCGGCGCCGAGGCCGTTGAAGAAACCAAAAACACCGTCGTCGGCCAGCAGGCCGGGGATGTAGTCTGTAAAGAAGCGGCGCAGCTCGCTGTAGTCCTCGCCAAACGTGTCAAAGTAAATGGCGTCGTACAGCTCGCCCTCGGCCAGCAGTTTGGGGCAAAAGTCCTGCCAGCGACCCCGCAGGACCTTGAACGCGCCCCCCTCGGGCGACGATGCCTCCCAGGCGGCGCCAAACGCGGCCGCATGGTCGACGCCAGCCGCAGAAGGGTTGCTGCTCGCAGCATCAATGCGTGCCAGCACCTCCGGGTGGGCCTCGATGATATGGTGGCGGGCTGGTTGGCGGGAGGCAATCATGCTGTCGATGATGCCGAGGCCGAAGCCAATGTTGAGGACGCGCTTGCCATTGGTAGCCGCGTCGTCAGGAGGTCCGCCAAGCATGGCGTCCACGCTGCGGCGCATAATGTCGGCCTCCCACGCCATCATGACACCGTTACCGGCCGCATCGACGAGCTTGCCGTCGTTGAGCGTGAGGTGGGACTCGAGATAGGGAGTCTCTTCAGAGGCTGGGGCCTCGGCAGTGGGAGCGTCAGTTTCGGTCTCCGGCTCTGGTTCAGCCTCGTGGCCATTGGTGCCATTGGCACCGTCGCCTGTCCCGTCTGCCTCCTCTGCCTCTGCCATCTCCTTGTCCTCGTCCTCGTCCTCGTCCTCGCCCTCATCGCCGTCCGACTCGAGCTCCTCGTAGCCGTCCAGGATGGCAAACAGCATTTCAGCTCGCGTACCGGCCCGCACCATCTGGTCGTAGAGGCTCTTCTGGTTCAGCCGCCAGGCCACGCAGCCGGGAGTCTCGTTGTCCATGTCGACGTCGTTCCAGATGGCACCGCCATACAACAACCGCTCAACCATTTTTGTCGCCTGTGCCTCCTTCTCGGCCTGTGCCTCTTGAACGTCGTCCTCACTGACCGGTCCCAGCGAACGGATGGCTGCGTGTAATGGCGTCTCACCCGTCACAGGGTCGCGACAGCTGGCCTTGCCTGGCGCGTCGAGGAGGGGCTTAATGGCGTCGACATCGTGACGCCAGGCGGCGCGCAGTATGGCCTGTACGCCTACTGGGCACTCGGACGAGATGCGGGCGTCGAGGGAATCGTCGATGTCGGCCATCGTGGAATTGTGCGGTTTTGTACGACGTAGAGCTGGACAGTCGTTCTGTGGAGGGGTTCGTAGCTGTTGGGTGGCGTTGACGTTGACTTTTTTTATTCGCCGCCTTTTTTTCTGCCGCATTTTACAGCTCCTGCCCTTGGCGATTGCTGGGAAGCCCCACAGCTTTCGTTCACCGCCTAATTGCAGTGGACTAACACTGGAATGCAGCCGTACTCGGTTGAATACGTAATTACACGGTCAATCCGTGCCAATAAAAAGAGCACTCCACAAGCTCTTTCCTCTTTTCACCTTTTGACTGCTGGAGTGGCTCAACTGGCATCGTCGAAGCTCCCTGAGAGTCGATCGACAGTCGCTCTTTCTGTGTCCGGCCAACGTCTCGGATTTGTCGATTTGGCCATGACGAGGCTGTCTGTCAAGTACTCCTTCCGTCTTTCGTGTGAATCTGTGCCTCGCTTCACCGGCACCTGCCGACCCAATTGATCGGCCTTCCCTGTTTTAAAATCCCAAAACGAAAGCAGACAGTAGAATGAAAATAAGTATTGTGCAACCTCCTCCTGTCACAGTCTGAAGCCGTATGCACGTGCGCACCAACGACTGGTTCGAGGTCGGCGGATGGGAATGGGAGAAAACCGCGACCAAAAAGTTTTCAAGATAAAACAAAACAGCACAGTGGCCCATTTACAGTGGGTCGCTCTGAAGAAGAGTCGCTCGTAGCTTCCCTCCACGTTTTGCGTTCGGCAATGGTTATTCTCAAGGCAAGAGCTTCATTTGCAGTCATGATCTGGCCGAAGCCGTTTCCTCTTTTCGCAGCTGGACAGTGGCCTGCAGCACCTTCCAGTGATAGTTGTGGCAATTGACCAATCACATGTCCAAGGGTGCGAACGTGGGCTCTCAAAATCGCGCCCCCATCGTGTCTGCATTTTCAGACTATAGCGGCCGGGTTAAGGCAAGTGCGCCTTCACACTTGCCCTTCTTCGCCTTTTCCACCTAAGAGGCCACTGTCTGCGGCCACAGTCACAGCAGATGGAAGGAGGTACCAACAAAGCTTGTCAGCCCCCCCCCACCGCCCCCACAGTTAAATCTACGTCGTCTAGGTCGTGTATCTGCACCATCCTAGCTGCTCTTTGGACTCTACCGAGCTTCACTTGTCTCACCACCACGACAATCTGGTTGCCACCTTGACCCCAGCGCACTTCTGTCCCTGGTCACCGTCACCCAGGGCTGCGTCTATTGTGAACCACTACGACGCACTCCATCAATTGAAACGGGCCAGCTCGCACGGTCGTCTCTGCACGCTCCAAGCATTGCTTTCTCTTGCTTTAGCCGTCCTTCGTCGTTTTTGCTTGATTGCAGCTCCACCAAACGTGCCTCGCCAACCGCCCTCGGCCTATTATACGCGGATTTTTATTGTTTCTTTATTGCTTCGCTTGCCACCTCCCAGGCCTGGTTTGTCCCCGGTGCTGCTGTCCCAGCAGGGCCTGTCCAAAGAAAGGTTTGTTTTCCACTGCGCATCCTTGTTTGCTTCATCTTCCTTTCCTCTTTCATTTCATTTTCACGACGTGCATTCTTCCTTTTCTCTTCCTTCCGCAGATCTCCTCTCTCCATTGCTGCCTCATAATCGTCACTTTGCTTGTCTCGTGTCTCAGTTCTGGGTCGCTCTTTTTCCACTTGACTAGATCAAGGCTCCGTTACGTCTCCCCAGTACCTGCGTACCCAGCGAGTACTTGTATACCAATCATCTCTTCCCTCAAAAACTAGCCGAGAACGAAGAGAGCAGAGAAAGAAGACGAAAACAATACCCTCCCCGGTGGTGTAAAAGCATTGGCAGATTGTTAGCGTTTTTCTTTCTTCTTCCTTTCACCAGATCTCTCTCACTCTCGATCCGATCAAACACTCACTTGGGCACCATTGCTGCGTCCAATTCAGACTATCGACGGTCCTTTTGCTCTTTCCATCCATTTGTGTTCTCCGCACCTCCATACCTCGTACGCCTCTTCAAACCTCTTCACCACTCCCGCTGCCATTTCCAACCCCCCACCCTCATCGATCGCCTGCCGCCACTGCTCCCCTGCATCGGTCGCCGGTCTGACCTCCACCTGCTCCCCCCAATGCTAATCATCGAAGACCTCAAGACCAAGAAGAAGACCTGGCACAGAAGCTCGCCCAGCAATAGCATTGCTCCAACTGTCAACAGCTTCCGCCACCTCAGGCGCCAGAGCAGAGACCAACAATCCGGCGCCGCCTACTCTCCCGAGGACTCTCCGTCTCTCCGCACCGGCCCGACCACCGCCGCCCGCACTACCACCTCCACCACTACTCCTCACGGCAGAGGCAAGCAGCATTGGCGCGCGCCACCTGGTATCGTCGTCATGAAGTTTGGCGACCAGCTTCGCTCCAGCGTCATTCGCGAGTATGAGTGGTCCTACCTGGACTACGACGGCCTCAAGGCCAAGTTGCGCAACGCCAGCGGCCCCGTCATCTACGTCGAGGAGCCTGCTTCTGCCGCATCCGCGTCAAACAACAAGAAGAGCGCCAAGAGCGCCAAGAAGGACGTAGCGGCCTCCGCCGCGACGTCCCGGCCAAGTAACAATACGCTGCATCCCCAGCGCGAGTGGTCCGAGGACGACGAGGCAGAGTTTGTGACCGCCCTCGAGGTCGAGCTTGAAAAGGTCCACCAGAAGCAGCAGGTCAAGGCCATTGAGATCCAGCGCATGATTGCCGTCAGCGAGCGCGAGGTCAACGATGTTGTGAACCGCCTGCGCGAGCGCGGCACCGGCGACGGCCCCAGCGAGGAGGAGTTCATGCTCCTCGAGGAGGACCTCAGCGACATCATTGCCGACGTCCACGACCTCGCCAAGTTCGTCCAGGTCAACTACACCGGCTTCTACAAGATCATCAAGAAGCACGACAAGGCCACCGGCTGGCACCTCAAGCCCGTCTTCGATACTCGCCTGAAGGCGAAGCCGTTCTACAAGGAGAACTACGATGCCTCTGTTGTGAAGCTGTCCAAGCTCTACGACATTGTCCGCACCCGCGGCAACCCCGTCAAGGGCGACAGCAGCGCAGGCGGTGGGCAGGCCAACTTCGTCCGCCACACCACGAAGTACTGGGTCCACCCAGACAACGTCACCGAGCTCAAGCTCATTATCCTCAAGCACCTGCCCGTGCTGGTCTTCAACGCCAGCAAGGAGTTCGACCAGCAGGACTCCGCCATCACCTCGATCTACTACGACAACCCGGAGAAATGGGATCTGTACGAGGGCCGTCTCAAAAAGACCGAGGGCGCCGAGGCCATCCGTCTGCGTTGGTACGGCGGCATGCGCAGCGAAACCATTTTCGTCGAGCGCAAGACCCATCGCGAGGACTGGACTGGTGAAAAGTCGGTTAAGGCCCGCTTCTCTATGAAGGAGAAGAATGTCAACGCCTACCTGCGCGGCGAGCTGCTGCCCGCTGCCATTTTTGAAAAAGCCCGCAAGGAGGGCAAGAAGTCCAAGCAGGCCATTGCCGAGGACGAGCGCCTGGCTGCCGAGATTCAATACTCCGTCCTTCGCAAAGGCTACGTGCCCGTGTGCCGTTCTTTCTACAACCGCACCGCTTTCCAGCTTCCCGGTGACGCCCGCGTGCGTATTTCTCTGGATACCGAGCTGACGATGGTCCGCGAGGACAACCTCGACGGCAAGCAACGCAGCGGCGACAACTGGCGTCGCATGGACATTGGCATCGACTACCCCTTCTCGCAGCTTCCGGCCGCTGACATTGAGCGCTTCCCCTATGCCGTTCTCGAGGTGAAGCTGCAGACCCAGATGGGCCAGGAGCCTCCGGAGTGGGTGCGCCAGTTGATTTCGAGCCACCTCGTCGAGGCCGTGCCCAAGTTCTCCAAGTTCATCCACGGCACCGCCACTCTCTTCCCCGACCGCATCAACCTGCTCCCCTTCTGGCTGCCTCAGATGGACGTTGACATCCACAAGCCGCGCTCGCACGACTTTGGCATCCGCCGCTCTGGCCACTCGGGCACCACAGCCACGTCCGAAGACGAAGACGAAGACTCCTTTGACTCCGACGACGACGAGAGAGGCATTGACAGCAACGCCCTCGTGCAGCAAACGCGCAGCCGCCAGACGTTTGGCGGGCCTGTTCTCGGCGAGCCGAGCTCCTCGACAGCCGCCGCCATCGCTGCACGCTTGCCGCACCACGGCGTCGCCACGCACCATGGCCTGGGCGACACCGAGGACCAGACCACCGACGGTCTCAACGACCCGTATCCCGTCTACGACTCGGACGACGAGGACGGCGAGGAGGACAGTGAACGGACACGGCTCGAAGAAGCACGCCGTGTTGGCGGCTGGCCCTACTACTCTGCGCTGATGGGCGCCTACACCAAGGCCGCTGGCCGTGGTGTCATCTCGGTTGCCCAGGCGCTGGTGCCTCACCCGCGCGGCTCCGAGATCCCCGAGAACGAGCGGCAGCGCTTGCTCTTCGGAGGCCGCAGCGCCATCCAGACCAAGCAGTTCCGCGCCCCCAAGGGCAAGAAGATTTACGTGCCCGTGCGCGTCGAGCCCAAGGTGTACTTTGCTGCCGAGCGGACGTTCTTGGGCTGGCTCGAGTACTCCATCTACGTCGGCACGATCGCCGCAACGCTGCTCAACTTTGGCTCGAAGCCGTCCAGTATTTCTTTTGTTGTCGCCAGCGTCTTCACCCTGCTCGCCGTCCTGAGCTTGGCCTATTCGGTCGGTATCTACTTTTACCGCAGCAAGGCCATCCGCACACGGCGCGCGTCTGCCCAATTCTACGATCGCTATGGACCGAGTGTGTTGTGCGGTGCTCTCGTCGTGGCCATTGCGCTCAACTTTGCCTTTGAAGGCCGGTCGCGCGACCTGTGGTAAGAAGCGGAGTGTTCTGTACATAGCCGGGTTGAGTTGCGTGGTGTAGTTTCGAAGTTGGATGATGCAGCCTAGCGAGGGACCCCATCTGTAAAATCGCTGTAATTTTCGGCCATTCACGTTTTCGTTTTGTTCTCTTTCTTTTGTCTCCTGTCCGCTTTGTATTGTTGCATGGCCTGTTGCATTTTTCTGCCATTGTGGCACTTTGCTGTGTTTTCTGGCTACTCCGTGTTTTGTCCTATTTGCATATTATGGGCTGCCACTTATTGTTACCGCTATATTATTGTTTGGCCTGCATATCCAATCTGGTATGCTTGGTGTTTTATAGACCAAACCAAGTCATTTTGGAATTAAGTTTCGATAAGCCTGGTCTGGAAAGGGGGGCTTTTTTGACGTGTTGGAATAAAATGTGAATACATGATAACAAAACATTGGTGGCCTTTGGGCCTCTTTACTTTACATTAAAACATTTTAAGCCGTAAAACACCCTCTGTACCACAAACCAGTTCCTCTTTCCCCTAGATAGCAGGACAACCAAAACATGACAGCAATATGACACAACGAACAAGACAGATGCATACGCATGAGACGCATAAAACCATTTAAACCATTTAAACCGTTAATCTTGTCATCCTCCTCCCGACATTACGCCACACCTGTCGACCGGCGCACTGTCCGCCGTGCGCCCTCACCCGTGACCGTGACGGACCCGTCCATCTCAAGGCTTCGAAGGCACTCAGCCAGGTCAGCCGACTCAATGGGCACGCTCGCGGCCTCAGCCATGCGCCGCGCCACCTCCGAGTAGCGCATGCTCGTCTGGCCGCCCGTCAGGGCCTCGTCTAGCATGCGCAGGATCGCCGCGCGCAAATCGGCCTTGCGCTTGCGCTCGGCAGCGCTGGTGCCCTCGGTCAGCAGCGACATGTCGATGCGGCCTTGGGCGTCGGTGGCGGCCGTCTTAAGGGCCGACTGGATCAGACGGTACGCCTCGCGGACGTCATCGCCCGTGACGTCGGAGGAGAGGCGCATCTTGGCGTGGGCCTCGGCGAGACGGATCATGGACTCGAGCTGCCGCGTCGTCGCCGTAATGCGCTTCTCGGCGGCACGCACATCTTGGCCCAGCTTGCGCATCTCGACATAGGCCTCCACGAGCGCCTGGCCGGCCTCAGTCGACAGCACGGGGTGAATGTTGGCGCGTGCATACGAAATGTACGACGTCAGGAACTCCACAGGCAAAATCTCGTTGGCCGAGCGTGCCGACTGGGGTTTGTCTTCCAGGTACATGGAGAGCAGGTGCTTGGCCATGCGGCGGTCCGTCTTCTCATCGGCGCGGTCCAGAATCAAGTACACCAGGTCGAACCGCGACAACAGCGTCGGCGGCAGGTCAATGTTCTGCGGCACGGGCAATTCGGGGTTGTAGCGACTGCCAATGGGATTGGCCGACGCTAGGATGCTTGTGCGGGCGTTGAGCGTAGTGATGATGCCTGCTTTGGCGACCGACACCGTCTGCTGCTCCATGACTTCGTGCAGCACGGACCGTGTGCTCTCCGACATCTTGTCGAACTCGTCGATGCAGCACACGCCGCCGTCAGAGAGGACAAGAGCACCCGATTCGAGCACCAGTTGCCGCGTTTCGGGATCACGCGCGACGTAGGCGGTCAGACCAACGGCAGAGGAGCCCTTGCCACTCGTGTAGACACCGCGCGGCGCAATCTTGTGGATGTAGCCCAGCATCTGCGACTTGGCCGTGGACGGGTCACCACACAGCAGGACGTTGATGTCGCCGCGGTAGCGGGGACTGCCGCCCTTCTTGAAGGACTTATTGGTGCCGCCAAACAGCTGTAGCAAGATGCCCTTCTTGACGTCGTCCATCTCGTAGATCGATGGAGCCAGCGACCGCGACAGCAGGTCGTAGACGTCGGCACGGGCACCCGTCTCCTTGATCTTGGCCTCCTCCTCGGGCGTGAAGGTCCGTGTCTCCTCCATGTGGTTACCGCTGGTACCACCGCCGCTGGTCTCGTTTTGCTCGGCCAGGAGAGCCGCTTCGACATCATCGTCATCCAGCTCCAGGGTCGACGGGTCGATGCCCAGGCGCTTGGCGTCGACTTTTTGGATATGCAGGACGTCGACATACGTCTTATGCACGCTGTTGATGGTGCGCTGGCGTGGGTTGACGCGAACCGGGCTGACACGGAAAATGCCCGTGATCAGGACGCGGTCACCAGCCTTGCAAAAGTCGACAAGCTCGTTGTAGACGCACACAGACACGGAGTGAGGGGTCTGACCGGCGGGGACAGCGTCGGGCGTCTCCTGCAGCTTGATGACCTGCTTGTCCTCGAAGATGCAGCGGTTGTGGACAATCTGCATGGAGTTTTTGGTCTGGCAGGTGGGCCGCGGGCACTCCGTCGGCTCGCGGATCTTGCCGCGGTCGAGGCTGACAGTGACGGAGTGGTTGCACGCCTGGCATTTGAAGAAGGCATCTTTCATGTCCGGGATAACGGGCGTGGTGCGGATGACAAGGCCTTTGATGGAGATGAGACGGTCCATATCGGACGGGTTGAGCTCGCGCAGGTTCGTCGACTTGTCCAGGCCAAAGGGCCGCACGATGTACACGGTCTTGCTGACGTCGTCCTCGAGGGTCTGTGCGGCCTGCGTCGCTGCGAGCGCCTGCTGCTGGGACGCACGCGGTGTGGCGGGCGGCTCCTCACTGCGCTCGGAGCTGGGGAAGTTGAGGTCGGAGCTCTGGCTCACGCTCTGCGCACGGCCGCTGTTGTTGCCAGCACTGCTTTGCGACATGACGGCGGCAGCGGCCTTTTGGCGGTTGGCCTCTGTGTGAGCAAGCTCTGACATGAGATCGTGCACGGACTGGTCCATGATGGGCACAATCTCCTGGGGATACGCCTGGGCCTGGTACCACAGCTTGTTGGTGCGCGGGTAGGCCTTGAGATCGCGCACATCGACGTAGAGGCGCGAGGAACCCAGCAGCAGCATGTTCTGCATGGTCTCCCAGTAGGGCTTGGACTCTGCATCGGGCAGGCCCTCTGTCTCGGCCTCGGTCATGCCGTCGAGCCACATGCGGTACTTCTTGGTGAAATTGCGCAGGAAGTCCTTGAACGAGGCGAAGGTGTCATCAATGGACACGGTTGTGCCCCAAATCAGACTCTGGCTCAGGCCGCCAAGGGCCTGGGCCTCGGACGTGTCGGGGTTGTTGTTGGCAAAGGAGCCCGTGTCCGAGCGGGGTGCCATGCCTTCGCTCAGAACATGGCCACCATCGTCGAGCATGATGCGGCGCGGCGGCGCACGCGGCGTGCGCAGTGCGTCCGAGTTGATGTCACCACGGCGTGAGCGGCCAGGGCCGATCGATCCTGAGCGCTGGTCGACAAAGAGCGCGCTGCTCTCGCTGCGCAGATCGGACTGGAAGCCGAGATGGTGGCCGGGACTGGAGCTGGGGTCGTAATGAATAGGAGAGGATTCTAGCCATGTTAGCAGTGTTCTCTGAATCAAGGTCTCGCGCCGGCCAACCACAATGTCTCACCTCCAAGAAGACCACGGCTAGCCCGTGGTGTACGATCACCGGCCGACACGCTCTGGGTCTCGTGGGCAAGCGGCGAGCTCGGTGCCAGGCCGCGCATCGGGTGGTCGGCGCTGTGGAGCGCGTCCTGAGTGCTCTGTGTATCGCTCATCTGTCGCAGCGGCGATGAGGCACCGCCCATATTGACGTCGGCGGCTGGGGACGACTCGTACAGCATGGGGCTGGACTGCAGCTGTGACGACGGCGCGCGCTGGTTACGGGGCGTGCCTGTCGCCCCTGCAGTCGCTGCTGCTGCCGGGCTGCTGCGTGCCTGAGAGTTGCGAGTGTTCCGCGCATTGGGCGTGCCTGCCTGGGAGCTCCGCGTGTTGCGGCGGCCCGCCGGGGAAGACATGCTGTCTGGGGTGTGTGAGGTGGTGGAGGGTGATACGATTGCGTTGACCTTGCTGGCTTTGTGTTGTCGTGTCGTCTTGTTGGGAGACTAGGTCGAGGAGAGGAAGACTGTCTGGTGATGTTTGGGTATCTTGAGAATGGATGAGAATGAAAAGGGAGGAGAGGGACGAGAAGGAACGACGAGGGATGCAAACAAACAGAATTGTGAAATGAGAGGAAGGGACGGCGGCACCACGAGGCAGGAGGGACAGGAAAAGCAGAAGGCGCGGCCCACCTCGACTACATTATGGGCTGAAAATGGCAAGCAAAACGCGAGTTTAATTGAGACGCGTCAAAAGGGGGGTTGAGGGGACCTCGACGCGTTATTTCGCGTAAAGTGGTTTTGGCCTTGGTGCTCGAACGGGATTGGTCCGAGCGCTAGGTCCACTTTCCCCGTCAAGGCAGGAACGGTTCAGTGACGAACGAGGACATATGGCCTGGTAGTGAAGACGACGTACGAAATACAACACATGTCGTCCAGATGATATAGGCCATAATGCATTGAATCTCCCACATAACGTATCCTTGGCTACAATTTGACGACAAATGCATCGTTTGTGTGTTTAAATGGCTTACGTACTCCAAATGTGTTTGGAATGATTGGAGCTGGCAAATAGAAACTGCTCAAGCGGCGAAGAAATACTCTGAATTTTCACAATGTTATGATGAGTTCACTGTATCTTACTTCCGTCCTGTACCATAAAATCTCAGAGGGCAAAATACTGCCTGTTGGAATCGCTTGCTTGTCGTCAAGCTCCTCGCTGAAGCCCAGAGACATGCCCCACTTAAATGCTTACATAAGTTATCCAACCACCTAAATGCTCCCAATTGTTTTTCCGGCCTTCCCACCAGCGCATGGCATAGCTGTCAATTCGGGGCCCCTTTCGTTGAACGACCATCCATCGACGCTCAACCACAACCACCCAAACCTCCGTCCACCACCCATCCCACCACAACCACGCCTCTTCCCGCCGTCCCGTTCTCTCTGTCTCACACAATGGCGCCCGGGCTGTCGCTTTACTCGGTCAAGGCCGTCATGATCCTGGCCGACGACGGCTCGCGGGTCTTTGCCAAGTACTACACACCGCCCCACCAGGCAGCGACGGGGGCGCCCGGGTCGACGACAAACCCATTTGCGGACGTCAAGGCGCAGAAGACGTTTGAAAAGGGGCTCCTGGAGAAGACGGCCAAGCAGAACTCGGACATCTTGCTATACGACAACCACATTGTGTTGTACAAGGCCGAGTCGGACGTGACCATGTATGTGGTCGGAAGCCCCGACGAGAACGAGGTGCTGCTCTACAACGTGGTCCTGACGATCCGCGACTCGCTGCACCTGCTTCTCAAGCAGTCGATTGACAAGCGCACGCTGGTGGAGTGCTACGACATCCTGGCACTGGCGATGGACGAGATCATCGACGACGGCGTCATCCTCGAGACGGATCCCAGCATTGTGGTCACGCGCGTCAGCAAGGCACCTACACAGGACGTCAACATTGGCCGCATCGACCCCTTCAGCGAGCAGGGCGTTAACCAGCTGGCACAGATGGGCCGGAACAAGATTTCAGACTGGCTGCGGCAGGGTCTGTAAAGCGAAGAGGGGATGGACTGTGGCGCGGGTGCGGAATACCGGAATCAAGGGGAGTAGGGTGTCCGTGTCCCCTCTCCCTAGACCACTAGTCTTTTGGGGGTCTTATTCCTAATTTTTTCATGTCCACGTCGATCACGTCTTTCTATACTGCTTTTATGTACGTGTTTTCGCTCAACTGCACTGGGAGTTCTTTGTTTTTAGGGATACTATAAAAGGGCAAGAAGCAGAAATAAACAAAGTCGGCTTGTAGTTTCCAGGCCCATTGTCGGCTGTCGGCTGTCCTCTACATGTCTAAAATATGTAAAATGGAAAGATAAACCGCTATGAAGAAAAAAGGAAATATTCAAATGTAACGTGGAGCCTGTCTATCGCACTTCCGATGCCGCTTTGCGCAGCCGGTTCATGACCGCCACAGCCATGTCGTCCCCGCGGTCGTCGATGCCCTCGACGAGGATGATGTCAGTCCCCCGTGCATCCAGGTCACGCAGTGCCGAGAAAAGGCCGTGCGCAATACTCGACAGGTCGCGACCAAGGTTGAGCTCGAGAACAGCAGTCCCAGTGGGCAGGGCATACTCCTCCAGATCGTAGGTCACTGCGCCGTTGCCGGTGCTGACACTTCTTGTCCCATGGGACTTGCTGCCACTACCGTTCCCCGCGCGCTTCTCAAGGCCTTCCAAAGCAGGCCACGTGCTCGTGCGGATGACGCCCACCACGCCTGCCTGCTGCCCCGCGCTCTGGATGTCCGCCACGAGGTCGGCCTGCAAGCGAGCCGGCCGTCCGGCCGTCCGCCAGCCCTCGTACAATACAACACGCGCCTTGGGGCTATAATGCTTGTACTTCATGCCCGGTGCACGCGGCTTCAGCGCCGCGTCCTCTTGTTTGTTGTGTTGTTGCTGCTGCTTCGCGCCGGTGCTCGCCACATGGTTCCCGCCCTCGGCCACGTCATGATACGCCCGCTCAACTCGCTCCCATCCGGGAACCGACCGCAGCTCGGCCAAACTCAGGCCGCCCGGGCGCAGGATCACGGGCGGGTCGCACAGTCCGTCGACGACCGTGCTCTCGACACCGACGCCGCACGCCCCGCCGTCCAAGACCACCTCGATGCGCCCGCTGAGGTCATCGACTACGTGCTGTGCCGTCGTGGGGGACGGCCGTGTCGAGGCGTTGGCCGAGGGCCCGGCGAGCGGTGCGTCAACCAGCCGTATAAGCGTGCGCGTCAGCGGCGAGGCGGGCAGCCGGGCACCAAACGTCGGCAGGCCTGTCGTCACCTCGGGTGCCAGCGTCCACTTGGGCGCATCCGCCGCCGACGGGACCGGCAGCAGGATCGTCAACGGGCCCGGCCAGTAACGCTGGACCAGGGGGCGGTACACGCGGGGCAGGTCCCTGTCATTGCCACTCGCATCCCGACCCAAAAGACCGCGCAGCATGTCCAAGTCGCACACGTGCACAATCAGCGGATTGTCTGAGGGCCGGCCCTTGACCGAGTAGATGCCACGGACGGCGCCACTGCGCGTAGCGTCGGCACCCAGCCCGTACACCGTCTCTGTCGGAAAGCCGACGGGAATGTCAGTGTTGCGAATATGGTCTGCCGCTGTGACAAGAGCGTCCAATCCAGGGGCCGATTCGGCTGCTTCCCAATGGTCGAGAGACGACGCTGGAGGCTGCGGTGACGAGGCCGGTGTGGCGGATGTGGGAAGAGGCCGAAACCGGCCCAACGAGTCAGGGTCCGGCACGGGGAGGATGCGTGTCGTGTACATTGTGTAGGGTGGAGGAGGGTATTTCAGACCTAAAGAGTGGTTTATGGAATAGGAGGAGGAAGAAGAGTAGCCGCACCTAAATTGAGGCGTTGGCAGCAAAGGAAGGCACGGCGCCGTCTTGTTTGCGCTCCGAGGGAAGGTGCTATGCACGACAGATGACGTGAAGAGCAAATGCAAAGAAGACGAAAGTGGAAGGAACGAGAGGATACGGCACGGCGCCGTCCAGCGGGCAGGCAGACAAAAAGGTGAGCACGCCGTCTTGAGCGGAGACTGGGGGGGAATACGAAATAGCAGTTGAAAGGATGTTGAAGAAAATCAAAATGCTCGTTGTTCAAAGACTTAACACTCGGTGGTGAGAATTTTCGTTGTTTGCGCCTGGGCTTATTCAGAATTTTCGGAGCCAGCCTTGGGCAGGTGTAAGAGTCATTCAGCACCATTCAGCGCCATTCGGCTGCCGCTAGCCAGCCTTGCGCGCTCCTGCCTTGAGGACGACACACTGGGAAGGCACTAAAATGGAAGGAGCACATTGCAACATACATGTCCACGAACGAATTAAATATAAATCAGTTGATATTTCTGATACAATTCAACATACTTTCTTTATTATGGTATCTCACTGATGCATCGCAAATTACTCGAGTATGTATAAAAATGTGAAAAGGCAAAAATGTGCAAGAAATGAGCGACCACCCAAACTGGAAAACACGCTTGACAACCCAGCGAGACGGGAAAAAAGAAAAAAAAAAAGATACCACCCCCAAATGGGAATATGCAATACCACACACCGGAGCCAGAGAATCACTCGTCGATCTGGGCGTCTTGGAGCATGCCGCCCACGCCGCCCACGCCGCCCACGCCTGCCCGGCGCACCGGAAGGCTTGTCACGTACGTGTTCGTAAAGCTGAGGTGCTGCTTGAAACTGTCGAGCAAGCGCTTCATCTCATCGCGCACCTCCTCGCGCGAACCCAGGCCCTGCATGACATGGGGCGAGGGGGGCCCTGGCAGAGGCGGGAGCGAGAATGAGTCGTCAAGCACGCGCATACCGTTGCGGATCGTGTCGCGATGCGCAAGAGCGCCAGTGTCATCGTACCCACCGGCATCGGGGTCGGGTTCGGTTTCGGTGCCGCTGACGTACTCCTCGGCATCGACAAACTCCCCGTCGCCATAGCCGTCGCCGATGCTGGAGCTGTCGCCGCTGCTTTGCTGGACGGCAAAGTCATTGGCACTCGCATCGCTGCTGCCGTGGCGGTGTCCGTTGCTGTGGCCGTCGGTGCTATAGGCCATGCCGACCTGAGGGCCGGGACCGGATCCTGAGCCGGACCAGGCGTTTGAGCGGTTCATCCGCTGGCCAAGCGAGCCGCCGCGGTCACCCCCACCGCGTCCACCGAGACCGCCACGGCCACCAAACCCGCCGCGGCCGCCACGGTACCCTCCATTGAAGGAGCCACCCATCTGTTGATATGGCTGGTCGTCGGGTGCATACCGCGGCTCCAAATACTCGTCGCCCATGTAGCCGCCACCGGCGTGCAAGTAGCCCTCATTGGCCCGTCGCTGACGACGGTCGGCCTCGTCGTTGGGATCGCCTGTCCCAATACTACTGCCGCTGCCGCTGCCGCCGTGCACCCCGTTGATGTGAAAGCTCGGCGGCGGCGCCGATCCTTGGCCGAGACCCAACCCCGTGGTTGTGTTTTGCTGCAGCTGCATCGGTCCCCCGTCCGGGACGGATGCAGCCACCATGTGCGCAAACTCCGAGTCGTCCGAGACGTAGATGGAGGGCTCGCGGTTCGTTGCGCTAATCGGCTGGTAGATTGACGAGTGCCGCTCCAGGTCAAACGGATTCGCCATGCCCACGTCCGAACCGGTCATCGACACAGCATCCGAGTTGGCCGTCGACGGCCGCGTCATCTCGGGCATGGGGTCCGGCAAACTCTCGTCCAGATCGATCAGGCTGCTCACCGACATGCGGTTGTTGCTGCTGCCTTGCAGTGGTGGCACCATCAGGTCGTACCCTTGCCCTTGCGACGTCGTCTCGTAGCCTTGCGATGGGAGCCCCACGGGATCCGTGTGTTGGTGGACGAGCACCGCTGGCCGGGCCATGCTGATGCTGTTGTTGTTGCTGTTGTTGTTGCTGCTGCGGCTGCCGGCACGACTGCCCGCTGGCGGTGTACCCCGAGCGCTCCGCGTCTCGCCTTCGTTAAACGGGAACCGGGCCATTTCCGGATTCGCAGATGCCGGCGGGGCCATCGTCGGGAACTTCCACTCCTGTGTGCGCCGGTTGTTCGGCAGATCGGCCGGATCGCTCAGTGGGGGGCGGTTGTAGTCGGACTCGTCAATACTAATAATACTGCTGTTGTTGCTGTTGCTGCTGTGGTTCGTGGTGCTGCCGCCGCCAAAGCTAAAGTTGTAGTCCATGGAGACCCGCGGCGCAGCACCGGGGCCAGCGCGAATGGTCTCCATGTCGGCGAATTGCGACGGCTCGCCGCCGAGGTCAACCTGCGACGCATCAAGGTCGATGAGCGACTCGCGTAATGTTGAGTGCATGGAGTCGTCACGCAACGGTAGGTCGGATGCGGACGCGGCTGTGGACGTGGCGCTAGCCGTTGGCGGTGGTGGCGGAACACCGTAGTATTCGCGGGAGTTTTCTTCGTAATTTGTAATCGAATCAGGGTCAAAGACTTTCTCGAGCGGCACCTTCACGACGGGCAAGTTTGGCGGCGGCTGCCGGCGCCGACCACGACCACCGTTCAACCGTGACGGCCGTGGCGTTGCGCCACCGGAAAAGCTGCCGCCGCCGGCGGTGCTGCCACTATGGCCATCATCAAACCCTCCAAAGCCGTTGCTGCTGCTGTCGCCACCGCGACCGGTCTCATAGTCGACCTGCGTGCCGTAAACGTCGTACACGGCCTGCGAGTCGGGGTTGTCCAAGACGCTGCGGTCAAAGTCAAGCGTCGTGCTAAAGTTCCACTCGTCGTTGGCCAGCGCGGTCGACGCGAGGTTGTCCATGGAAGGGCCCTGCGCGCCACCGGGCGCAAAAAGCGACTTGCGCGTGCCGCCCTGCGACTCCCACATCTTGTACCCCTTGACCAGCATCGCCAGCGTGTCGGTCGGGTACATGCCCGAGGTACCAAAGATGTACGGGTGCCGCTGCACGCGCTCAATGGGCGGCCGCTGGGTCGGGTCGTCGGCCAAACAAAACGCCACGAGGTCCTTCAGCTGCGGCGAGTACTTGTCACCCTCGAGGCGCGGCGTGTGTGTCTTTAGGTAGTTGCCGAGCTGGTGGTAGGTGACGCCGGCGACAACGTTGGGCGGCAGCCCCGACGCAATCTCAAAGACCATGGACCCAAACGCCCAGATGTCGACCTCGGTGCCGTACGACGCCGACTGGTCAAACATCTCGGGCGCCATCCAGTGCGGCGTGCCGATGACGGTCGAGCGCTTGTCGAACTTGGTCTCAATGACACCAGCGACACCGAAATCACACAGCTGCACGCCCCCGGCCTCGGTGACCAGCACGTTGGCGCACTTGATGTCGCGGTGGATGATGCCCTGGCGGTGCACCCAGTAGATGGCCTCGGCCACTTCGCGCAGGATCGGGATGATCCACTTCTCTTGCAGGCCGCCGGGCGCGGTCGGCCGCATCAGCGTGGCCACGCTGCCGCCTGCACAATACTCTGTGATCATCCACATGGCCTGGGCGACGGGGAGCGCATCCAGAAAGTAGTTGACGTTCTTGGAGCCGCCGTCGCGCAGCAGCTTGAGCGCGCTGATCTCTTTCAAGAACTCGCTGTACGTGTCGGCGCGCTTGGGGTCCAACGTGTCGGACTCCTCAATGTCGATGATCTTGACGGCGACCAGCTGCGACGTCTTGAGGTCCTTGGCCTTGTACACGCGACCGTAGCTGCCCTTGCCGATGAGTTCTTGCAGCTGGTACGGCGGCACTTCTTTGCCGGCCTTGGTGCACTCCTCGGTCACGGCCTCCTGCATCTTGATGGCATCGTCGTAGGCTTTTTGCCGTGTCGCCGAGTAGTCGGCACCGCGCACCTGGAGCGTTGCCATTATGCGTCTCTGTGTGTTTGGGTGTAATTTATGTGTGGGTGGATGGTAGATATAGCCAGTACGGAACCGCTAAGAACGGAACGAGGCTTGACCCAGTCTCAGCCTTGCGAGCTTGCTGCCTCTCACAGCCAACCGGTCCGAGCAACGAAAACGCTGCTCTGCTTCCTCAGACGAAGAATAAGAGAGCCCCGGGCGCCGTCGTCAAAGTCGCCGAGCCGCAACATATGTTCCCAGGATAGAAAATAAAGACAAGGGGGGGGATGAGGTAGTGAAAAATTGCAATGAAATCGGATCAGGAGGGAGGATGAGCTGATACGGATGGGTGAGAAGGACGAGTGAAGGAGGTGGCGAGGCCTTGGACGAAAAGGGTGGACCAAGAGAAGTGACTGGGGAAAGCGAGGCCAGAAGAAACAATACACATGGTCAAACTTGCAGTCGAGCTTCTTAGACTGCGTCCGACATCGTCACCAGGCCTTTGTGGCGACAGTATGAGTTTCTGCGATTTGCCGTAGCACAAGAAAACGGGATCTCAAGCCCCTTGTGCGGTGCGTTAGGCCAAGGAGTTGGTTGGATGACGACTTGTGAGAGGTTGACGTAGAAAACTGGGGCTTTTGTTTCTTTGCCGTCCGTGTCACCCCTAAAAAGGGAGCGAGGCAAGATAGTCACGTGTGCACGTTTCAGACCACCAGCTTAGCGCCTGAGCGCGCCAACAATTGCAGGGCTGTTCGGGCCTTAGACAAGGGCCGACAGCGACTGAATATCTCTGAAGAGACATCTGAGGCGGTGTGCCTTTTCGAAGCAAACGACGACGTACAAAGAATAGACAACCACCTGGTCAATTCGTGCCCGAATTTGTTTCGTTCTACGTTCGAAAGCCGATGTATGTCACGTGAACCTTTACATACATTTAATGTGTGAAGTCCGCGGTACTTTAGACTGTTATCTAGCCTTGGTGTTAGAGAGCTCTCTGTTTTGCCAGTTGGCATAGCGGTCTGGTTCCTATATATAACCACCAAATACGACGAGCATTAACCTACAGACAGTCGGGTTTATGCAAGTGATGGGACTGACATCGACTGGCTCAGTGGCAGTGAAAGTGGGATCCATAATAAGTTTGTATCAGGTCTATCGTTGTAGTGACAGAGTAAAGAAGAGCAAGCAAAACGGTGTATAGTAAAAGCAGACAAAGAGCATCGCATCAACAACATTTATAAAAACAAAGCCCACATTCCGGTGGACACTATAATACCGTACCGTCGCTGGCGCAACAATCCCTCAGACCGAACCACCTGCCGTGTAGCAACTCAAGGATACATAAGAAGATGCTGGAAGAAGCAAAACAAAAGTGTACATAAAAGACATAAAGGGCAAGACGGCTCGATCTAAACATAGCGTGATAAGTAAAAATACCAAAACGACAGTCCGTTCAGCTGCCGCGGAACAGGAACTGAAGATCCTCGGGCGTCAGCGACTCCATGGCTGCGTCATCCGAGTTGATTGTGGAATTGATCATGCGCGTCTTCTTCTCCTGTAAGAGAACCATGCGACTCTCGACCGAATCCTCGATACACAGGCGTGTCACGACACAAGGGCGTGTCTGGCCGATACGATGGCAGCGATCAGCCGACTGCCATTCCGCAGCAGGGTTCCACCAACTGTTTTGTTAGCAAGTGACGGGGGAGAGGAGGGCGAGAAGAATACAATGGGAGCTGGACATACGGATCAATGATAAAGACACGCGACGCCTCTGTCAGGTTGAGAGCGACGCCACCTGCCTTGAGAGACACGAGGAAACACTCGACGTCGACGTTATTCTTGAAATACTCAATAGAGGCTTGCCGCTGCGCGGGAGTCATGCTGCCATCGAGCATCACAGTCGTGATACCGGCCCGGCGGAGACGCCATTCGATCAGCTGAAGCATGGTGGTGAACTGCGAGAAGATGATGGATTTGTGCCGGGCCTTTTCGGAGCGCAGGCGGTACAGGTTATAGACCAGCAGCTCGATCTTGGACGACGAGGTCCAGTTCGCCATGCGGATGCGATTGATAATCGACGACTTCTTGACCTGGACCTCGTCCTGCTCAATCTCCGGCTGCTCCAGGTCGATCGCCAGCGGAATGTGGCAGCGCGGGCAGTCGGGCTGCTCCGTAGCGGCCAGATAGCTGCGCGCACACTCGCGGCAGAAATCATGGCGGCACCGGGAGCTGATGGCCTCCTCAGCCGGCTCGTCGCAGATACAACAGATCATAACGTTCTGACTCCCCTCGCTGTTCTTCTTGAGGATGAGATCGGGGTGGTCGGCGACCTGGCGCATCTGCATGATCAAGCCAAAGATGTTGGCGTAATTATTCAACATCACGCCGTTTTCCACATACGTGGTGAACTTGCGCTCCGAGTTGGTCATGATGCTGTTGGCGAAATCGGTCTCGATGTCACTGAAAAACTGCCGGTCGACAAGGACACGCTTGACGGGCAGCTCCATGGAGTTGGTATGATCTTTTTTGAGGCGGCGGAGCATGATTCGATCGGTCAAAAGTCGCAGCTTTGCGAAAGCCTCCTTGCCCGGACCAAAGTTGCCATACCGTTGAATTGGATTCAGCAGCTCCTGGTTGAAGACCGAGAGATGCCTCATACCTCGGTGCTTGCCTAGTACGCGATAGCATTAGCAACAGTGTCATTGTCCTATTGTTGTTTGATCGGCCCTGTGCTGTGCTCGTCATCAATCATGGATACCCCAACTTACAGTGCATGCAGAAATTGTCGTCGTCAACAAGCCACTCCATCTTGGAGCAGTTGCAATCACGGCACAGGTAGTTGGAAAACGGCTCGATCTGGAGGAAACGCAAGAGCGAGAAAAACTCTCCAATCCGGTTCTGCAGCGGCGTGCCAGAAAGACACCAACGGTAGTCGCCTTCCAGGGCAAAGCATGCCTTGGCCGTCATGGTACTACGCGTCTGGGGTTCTGTTAAAACAGTGCCAATATTGACAGAAGAAGGTCAGAGAGGGGGGGGGCAAGAACGGTTAGACTCACCTTGATGCAGTGTGCTTCGTCGAGGATGATACGGTGGAAGTGTGTACCATGAATGATGCTCTCCTCTTTGTAAACGCCGTCTTTGCGGGTAAAGCCACGTTCTTGTTTGCGATACATAGACTCCAAGCTATTGTACGACATCATAATGACATCGTACTTGCGGATGTCCTTTTTCGTCATGCCCTTGGTCTTGGCATTGGTGCCGTGGTAGACAAAGGTTTTGAGGCAGCCGTCGGTGTAGGAAGCGATTTCGGACGTCCACTGCATCAGAGCAACGGGTGGGACGAGGACCAGGGTCGGGCGCTTAGCCGGATAGTCGGACATGATGAGCGATACGGCCTGAATGGTCTTTCCCAGGCCCATTTCGTCGCCGAGAAGCCCACCTTTCCACTTTGTCTTCTCCATGGCCGTCATCCACGCCACGCCCTCGAGCTGGAACGGCTTGAGGTTGCGGGAGATGTTGGACGGCTGGTCGGCACGGCCGGCCTTGAGAACGGCCGTCTTTTCCAGATCCTTCCACATTTTCTTGAGGACGGGATGCTGCACTTCAAGGCGTTCTCTGTCAGACAGGACACGCTTCTTGTTCTTGTAGTCCCGGTATGCCCGGCGTGTGCCCAGATCATGGTCGCGCATAAGGGGTTCCGATTCGTCCTCGTCATGGGAAATGTAGGAGAAAGCGCCCCAGTCATTGGGATCCGGTGGCGGGCTGCTGAGCGCGCTGCTGTCATCGGCGTCGTCCTTGATCGTTATGGGGCCGACATGGCTGGACAGCGGCGTAGGCGCAGATGCCGCCCCGTTCAGCCGCTGTCTCTTGGCCGGACGCGAAGACAATATCTCGACGTCGGGATACTCGGATGCGGATGTGGCTGAGGATGGCGCCTCTTCCTTTTGGGGAAGGAAGTCCAAGGCACGGTTGCGGCGCGAGGGCTTCGTGTCCTCCTGCTTAGGGAGGCGCAAATCTTCTTCCGCTTGGAGTTTTTGTGCCAGCATGGCATCAGAGGCGATCCTATTCTGCAACTGGGCATCGGCAGTACTAAAGCTATCAGAGTCGTCGTCGGCTTCAGAGTCCTGTACAAGAAAGCGCCGCTTCTTGTTAGGAAACAACGAGTACTTGCTTCTGCTGAGAGCCTTTGCACTATCCGAGGCAAGGGGTACAGAGCTCGAGCTTGGGTCCGAGCTTCCGCCAGCCGCGTTCATTGACGACCGGTCAGGTAGCTCTATCACGACCCGCATCAGCGAACTAGCCGGCTGGAAGCCAGGATAAGAGAAAGCCGTTTTGCCGCGTGTGGTGGGCTTGGAGTCGCTTGCGGGAGTCGGTGCGGCGCTGGACGGTGCGGTGGACAGTTCGTCGTCCGAGGTATACTGCGTCGGCGTCGGGATGGTCGAGTTGGACATGGTGCTGCCCGAGACGCCGTTATCGGACGGTGGGCGTTCGACCCTGAACTTGGACCGCGTGGATCTACCACTTGTGGTTGCCGTGGCGGGTGTCATGGGTGCTGTATGGCTGTTCGGGGTGTTGCTGGCCACTATGCGGGTTAGACACAAAATAGAGACAAGGAAACCGTGCCGATGATATCAAAAAGAAAAGAGACGATTGTAGTACGCCGGTCGCCCAACTTACAGCGCTCGCTAAGCCTCCTCGACTGTCTTGGAGTGGCCATGATGGTCGTTTGGCTGATGTGTGGATTGGAGAGAAACGAGCTTAGATTGATATCAAAGGCTGCCTTGAAGAGAAGAGTCGGTCGACGAGTCCGTAAATACCGGTCTGCCGGACGTAATTAGTGAATTCGGGTCCGTGAATTTGGGTCCGTGAATTCGTTGTCGATGGACTGCAAATGGCCTGTCGATATTGTCGTCGATTTGCCGTCCACTGTGCCAATGTCGTCGGGAAAGGTAGACAATGAGAGTTGGCTCAGATGCACGGGCCAGGGAGAGAGGAAGGGAATGTGCGTGCACGGCACAGTAGGA